CCTTTGGACAGAAGGGGGGGCGCTTTCCCCTCCCCACCCCTCCTCTGAGGCGGCGTCCCCGTGTTTCCGCCTGACGCGTGTCTTCGGGGCACGTGTGCACGCGTCCCAAGAGCCCCTTCGGAGGCCGGACTCTCGCAGGGCGGTTCTGCAGCCCCGACAGCAGCCGTTGCCTTTCGGAGGGGGGTATTGCCCTCGTGGCCCACCCCAATGTCGTCTGCAACGCATCGCCCTCCTCGTTTCTGAGGGGAGGTTTGTGGTGGTTGCCCTGAGGTCTCCCTTTCTTTCTCCTGAGGCGCTTTGGGGGCCTTTGAGGTTCCTCTCGGGGGGGGGCGGATCTGGCCGAGGCGCCGCTTCCCCTGCGGAGCTGCTGCTTCTCCTCAGTTCTCTCCCTCAGGAAAAGCGCCTCCTGTTTCCATTTCACACACACACACACCCCAGGCCAGGTTCGCTCCTCGCACAGGAAAAGGGAACCAACAAGGAAGGAAGGACCTGGAGAAAAGGGAAGGCTGGAAGGTTGGGATTCTTCCCTCCTTCCTGCTGAGGATCAGCTCACCTGCTCCCCTCTGGGTCTCTGCCCTCATCCTCTTTTTTTTTTTGGATGGCAGCCTCTGGCAATCCTGACCGCTGGGGGAGCCGAGGTCAGGAAAGGCGGATTCATCAGGCTGCTTGTTACTGTTTTTGACTTACATATATGTATACACCACCCCATAGTGCCAGCGCCTTCTCAGGGAGTTTTGCAACATCATGATGCAAACAGCACTTTGTCCCTCAGCAGCACTGGGGTACTCAGTTTGCCAACCTGGGAAGGCCCAGTCAACTTTGGTCCAGCTGCCTGAACCCATGGGGATCACGCTCAGGTTGTGAGCAGAGGCTTGACTGCAATACTGCAGTTTAACCACGGACTGCATCGCCGGGTTCACGTAGCTCAGGCTGCAGACCACTGTGACGGGTGCCCGTGATAAGCAGGAGATGTGGGAGAAATTCTCCAAATTTATATGCCACCTTATTCTCTCCAGCTAAAATGGAACAAATATAATGCGGGAATGAATTTTTTTTTTAAAAAAAAAAAACGTGCTTTGAGTGAAGCAAAATAAAATTCTAATGTGATTGCTAAAGAACCTGAAATACCTGTGTGATTTTTTTTTTTGGGGGGTGGATTCTTCCAAATGCTGGTGGCCCTTTCATGATCAAGTGCTGCGAAGAAAGCAATGATAAGGAGAGTGGCGGGGCAGATTGAGAAGCCTCTTTTTTTCTCAAGAGATGTGCACATACTTTTTCTTGATCGTTACGGATGAGATGGCGCTTTCCCCACTTTTTAAAACCCAGGCGGTGCATTCCCGGAAGATATGTGCCTTGCTGCTAGATGTTGTTCACTCTGTAACTAATGTCTTTCTCTTTTCCCCAAAAGTGGCTGCACAGTTTATCAGGACTAAAAGTCCCCTAAAGGAGATAACTTTGCTTTTCATGGTATGACTAGCACCCTTCCTGTCTCTCCTAAAGACGAGAGTCCTGTGGCACCTTTAAGTCTGTCTTAGTTTATTGTGGCGTGACGGGGGATGGATGGCATTAGATGTTTCGCTGCATTGTGCCCTTCCTCTTATTACCTTGGCCAGCCCTCCCTGCCACCCATCATCCTCTCAGCTTCAGCCCTCGCTTCCCTGCATGTTTTCGGCCGAGGTCACAAGCGCTGCCTCCTTGCTCTTGTACTGCTCACAGCCCACATTCCCACGAACGTGACGTGCTTGCATGGCTGTCTCTTTGTGACTACTACTTATCTGGCAGCTGGGAAGTCTCTCCTGGATGCGCTTCTAGTACTGGCTAGATTGGCCTGTTTTCTTTGAAGCATGGACCAGTCTGGAAAGCTGTAGGATGGTGTTTATTTTGGATCCGCTGGTTCCCCCGGTAAGGGAGAAGTGCCATCTGGGAGAAGGGTCTCTTTTCAACTGGGCGGGAAGAAGAGCAAAGAAGAAGCTGCAGGAGGGTTTAAGGCTTGTGTATAACGCATCCTGGCTGTTTTCCTCCAATGGGCTACTCCTGATTCAGTGTTTGAGCCTCCTCTGTGCATATGCATCCATAGGCAAAGCCTGTTTTGTCTGATGCACTTTGTGAATTAGGCAGGTATGCATACTCGTCTGGTAGAATATTAAAAAACTACGCTCCCTTTTATCCTTGTTGACTAAGCCAAGGTGAACAAGGCAGGGCTTTTTCAGTGGTGACTCCTTTTTCTTTAGACTGCCCTTCCTAACGAGGTATATGTGCTACCTGCTTCACCATCCTTGCGATGCTAAGCTATGATTTGTTTTTACTCACCCAAGCAATTTAATTTATATAATCTTTTAGTTTGCCTCAACATTTTGTTTACAGACCTTTATAACACTTGCCCAATGTTAGTGTTAGGTTTAACACAATGCATTACCCTCACTGTGGTACAAAATGTCGGAATTTGATTGAATAATGGACAGTAGAAAAATATTTGAAATAAATAAATATGCCTTGTAATCTATAAAGAAGCAGATTTCTAAGGATGACCCTTAAGCTAAGAACTCTGTGTTCTGTGGTAACCAGGACCGAATACTCTAGGAACAGAAGAGGGGAAGGAAAAAGAAGAAGAAAAAGACTTTCCATTTATTTGTGTTTTGGTTTCAAGAAGTGGATAAAGCAGATTGGAATCGGGGGTGGGGAATATGTGGCCCTCCCATCAGCTTTTGCTGTTAAAGGCAATGGAGAAGGTTGATAGAAGATGAAACCCAGAAACCTTTGGAGGGCCACACAGTCACCATTCCTGAATTAAAGTAATCTTATTTATTTGGATTGTGGAAAAGAAATAGCTGTTTCCAGTCCATGTTGGATGTTTCTGTGCAGCTGAATGCACACATTCTGGTCAATATCAAACCCCTTTCCAAACACACTTGCATATTTACACATACTGAATTTCAGAATATATCAACTGTTATAAATAACGTTTAATTCCAACAATACATTTATTTATTGTATCATTAAACTGCCTAACCTGGAATCCATGGTAGACTTTTTAAAGGTCGAGGAGAGGAAGGGTTTGATAAATTTGATTTATCGTAGGCAAGACAGACTGGTTACAGCATTGTGGGAAAGAAGAAAGGAAAAGCAAAAGATTAAAGCACATAGGTAAAGAGAGAGTGATAGTGAACCTGTCTGCTCCTGGTGATCATTTACCACAGTTCCCATCATCCTCTCTCAGCACTGGCAATATTGGCTGGGGCCTATGGGAGCTAGAGTCAAATAACCTCCAGAAGGCAACAGAACCCCCACCTTTGGTCTGAAAGATATGATTAAAAATGATGTACTCGGCATCATCAGGTAATGTCCTTTTCCCTTTAGCAGAAATGGAGATATCGCGCTTTTTTGCAGTTCATTTGTTAATTAATTGGATGTTGCTGTGTTGATTCCAAATTATGGCAACTCTTCTTAGGTGTAAAAGGACTCCGAATGCAGCAATTTAATACCTTTTTAAAGAGATCTACTGTTTGCTTCTAAATGTTCCCCCAAATGCCCTAGAAATACATTTTTGTTTTCTGTGATGTGATCAGCCTGATCTATTAGAAGAATAAAGCACCCCATACCTGTCTAGCTCTTAAACAGGAGCATCATGCTCTGACAATGCTATTGTAAAACCGTGGCATCTAATATATATTTTTTGTTAGCCTAGCTAGCATGTCTGTCGTAAGGAATTATCTGCTGGGCCAGTCAAGTCTGGTTCATTAGCAGCATAATTGAATTCAGTGCATGCTGTAAACGTTAATGGGTTTTCTAAATTCAGTAAAGATATTTCTGATACTTGTGGCCTGGATATTAAAACGTTGTTGTTGTTGTTTTGCATAGCTATGACGACTTTATGGGGTCAGCCGAAAATGTGATAAATGAATCTGTTGATGCAGAGGACAGTTATAACATAATGGTAAGTCATCTACTCTGACCTTTTTGGGCTTTAAGTTTTTTTTTTCCAAACTTGCATTTGGGAAATGTGTGAAATTCTTTATAGCACTCAGTCTGACCATTTATTAAGGCATTCAGAAAATCATCAGGGCCAGTGCAGTTGTCATATTGTTGTTGTTTAGTCGTTAAGTCGTGTCTGACTTCGTGATCCCATGGACCAGAGCACGCCAGGCCCCCTGTCTTCCACTGCCTCCCGGAGTTGGGTCAAATTCATTCTGGTAGTCTGGTTGTCATATTGCTTTGTGGCAAACCTTTGTTTATGACTGTGAAGTGCACTTTGTGAAATCAATTACTGACTTGAGTTGACTTGCTGGTCTGTAACTACTTCTAGTTGCCTCATCTGTGTCTTGGTTCTCTTGTGACACTTTCACAGTGATTTTTTTCCCAAGGCTATGTGCAATGATTCATAGAATGATAGAGTCGGACCATAGGGCCATCCACTCCAACCCCCTGCTCAAGGCAGGAATCTAAATCAAAGTAGATTTGACAAATGTTTGTCCAGTTTTCTCTTGAATGCCTTTAGTGCTGGGGTGCTCGCCACCTCCCAAGGTAACTGGTTCCATTGTCATACTGCTCTTACAGTTAAGAAGTTTTTTGCTTGTGCAAGTACGAAGTCTCATGAGGTGCCTGCCTGAAATGTTCCTCCTTTTTTCCCCCAGGCTTCTTTCCAGCGCTCTAACAGTCATGACAAGGTCAGAAAAATAGTGGCTGAAGAAGGCCGCACGGCAAGGAATTTGATTGCATGGAGCGTGCCATTGGAAAGCAAAGAGGATGATGGTATGGGATCACTGGCTGAATTATACCTATGGTCAAGCAAATACTATACTGACAAAGTTCCTTAGCACTTAGTTTAGAACAGATAAAACCAGAGTACCTTTTGATATACGATGTGTTTCTTGTATGACATTCACTGCTGTATAATATGATGATGGCCGTTGTTTTAAAAGGCCTTCATTTGAGCTTAGATGGGAGTCCTGGAGGCTAAGCCTGATGGTTGCAGACCCATAGCAGGTGCGTGCTACCTCCCTGTTCAGTTGTAGGGCTGGCCATCCTTTCGAGACCTCTTCCTCCATCCTGGGAGGGTCCTACTGCTCTGTTGAGCTGCCTCTGCTCCGGACAGCTTTCCAGTGCTGGCCGCTTCCTAAACTGGTGCAGACCATTCCTCTGACCACAGTTTGAGGTTCTGTGAGCCCCACAGGAGGCAGCCATCCCAACAGGTCGGTAGCTGTGTGCAGAATAGGCTGGCTGGGCTCCGCGGGAACCCCTCTCAGCCTCTGGTGACAGCAAGGCCTCCCTGAGAATAAATTTCTTGGTCATTTCCGGAGGGGAGCAGTTCCTTTCCTTTCACGAAAGGAACCGGGTTATAGGTTGAAATAGGCCCAAGAAAGGCCAACTCACCCCTCTGGAAATCGGACCCATCTGTTGCTGAGCTGAATGTTGTCCCTCCTGCTTCCTGATGTCTCTCCTCTCGGTCCCAACGTGGCACACAAGAACGGGAGAAGGTTTAAAAGTCAGCATAAGCCTTGGGCAGCTATTGGGGTTTAAAATGCGTCTCTCTCTTTGCAGGAAAACCAAAATGGCATATAGGAGGCAAATCAAAGAAAATAACTCAGGGAACGCACAAGACGGCTAAACAGGTATATATCCAGGTTTTCTCGTTGGTTTGTTCTCCATGCAAAGGACGTGTCTTCTGAACCTGAAATAATTTGTTAAACTGCATTGGAAAAAAATGTGCCGTCTTCACTTTTTATTTTCTTTAATTTTCTTTAATTTTGAACCCCATCCCAGCAATCAGTAAGCCTTCTGTGGCCTCTAGGCATGCTCCCTTTTATTTGAACTACTTTTGACACCCTGTTCCCCACCCACCCACTAAAGATCTGTTGTATTTTGCCCTCTTTGTAATAGCGCTTCTGTCTTGCGCCACGAAAAGAATTCTGCCTTGGTATTGCCTCTCAATGTGGCTCCAGGCTTGGGGAACAAAGACGTTTTTGAATCACGGCAGGCAGAAGCCAAAGGAGTCTTGTCTTGGTCTGTCTCCCAGTGAATTCCTTTGAACCTGTTTTAAATCATAGGGGAATATACGTTGCAGCCGTTGGAAGCTGAATGATGGTCTTAAATACAGTTGTGGCCTGTAAGGCTCTGAAAACTAAAGTTAGCAGCTAGATCCTTGGCACTCCTTTCAAGTTGACATTGAAAGGCCAGCCCTTAGGCACAAATCGTGTCGGTTTTTAAGTGAACATTTGCTTAACTCCCTACTACCCCTGACCCTAATCTGAGCTCTCGTCCTAAACACACTTGCAGGGCAGTAAAGCTCATGGTGAACTCAGTGGGAACGACATGAGTAAAGATCTGGAGGACATCTGGTATGGCTTAGTGGTTAGTATGCAGGACTTGGGAGACTCAGGTCCATGTCCTCGCTAAGCTATGAAATCCCCTGGATGACCCTGAGTCGGTTGCTCTCTCTCCTTTTTATTGTGTTTTGCTATGTTGCCATGGAACAACAGTACCTAGTATAATTGTGTCCATATATATGCCTTATTCTGAGGTCTGATCCTCTCAGAGTCTCCCATCAATCCGATGCCAGAATACAAGCCACCTGCATATCGGCGACATAATATGATTACATTGTAGGTTTAACTTAAAGGTTTTACAGTTGTTTATTAAACTTGCTCTTTAATGGTAATGTATCTTTAATTTCTTTTAAAAATATATTTATATGGTGTTTTTAAATCTGTTCTTTGATCTGTTGTAAGCCACCTTGGGTCCCCAGTGGAGAGAAAGGTGGCATATACATAATTTAAATAAATAAAATGACAAATAAATATGATAGCGGGCAACAGGCGTAGAAAATACAGAAATGAACGCTCTCAATATAGTTGTCATCAGGAGGGACTCCCTCACTACTAGCCATCTTTCCTGTGGCTGTTTTTCCTCTTATGCACACCAAGCCATGCAGCTCAAATCCAAAGACATACCTATAAGGCTGCCGATTTTCTGTAATTTCTCTGCAATATTGAAAAATGTTCCAGGGTGGATAAAGGAACCAAAATGAAACATGTCTTTTAGCTATAGTACCAGAGAACAGGGGGAAGGAGAAAAGCCTGGTTATTTTCCTAGCTTAAGAGTTAACTCTCTTATCTCTGAAATGTGATAAGTAGGATGGAAAAGTTCAACAAGGTCTAGTACAGTTATGGTTGTGCCCTAGTACACACTAAAAGCAAAAATTTAACCATTTCATGGCGGTGACAACCTGCAACATGGCATTGGTGAGCAATTCATACATTCTGCTGTCTTTATAATCATCATGACATGCATCAGTGTCTTTCAGTTTAATGGATGGCATATACATATACATTAGACACAATATTTAACAGCTGTTATATACAGTATATAAAAGCTCTAAAATGTGTCTAATGTTTCCAGTTTACTCTAGCACCTCCTGTACTAATTTGATCTATGGCTTGATACAATTTCTACAATTCTAAATGTACTGCATGTTTAATTTGATATGCATTTATGATTTTTAATGAATAAATAAGAAACAAAAATAAAGGCATTTGAAAACCAAAACATGGCCATATTTCCTCCACTTAAATACACATCCAAAGGAAAATCCTTCATGTTGGTGCAAGTGAAGGAAGAGAAGTTGGCATCTAGATGGGACGAGTGTCTGTTTCACCCTCTAAGGGCAGACAGCAATTTAGACTGATATTTCAAACCACCTAGGGATTAAAAGGAGCAATACTTACACAAATACCCAACTGTTCAGCATCGATAATTAGACTATATTATACACAAAACAAAAACGCACAGCTGTAAAACGATAGCCAGATGCCCCTAATGGGAACTTAACACTCTCTCTGGGGGCCCATTCAGTTCCTTTGAGCACCAGGTCCAACCATCAGAGGGAAGAGGGGTGTCCATATGTAGAAAACCCACCGCAAACTTTTCAATAATTAATATAAAGGCATTTTAGCAAGCAGACCTAAAATTGTCCTGTGTTTTTTTAGGAAATAAGTTCCCCTACATTCAAAGAGGCTTTTGGCTGCCCAGAGTAGACCTTTGGTCTAGATGGGCAAGGTATAAATCTAATAAAAGAAATAAATAAGTGGCCGAGCTTTGGCAATGTATTTGCTGTTCATGAGATTTGATGGTTGGGGAATGCTTGGAAGAGCAACAGTGGTCAAAGAGCAGAGAAAGGGATGGGAAAGTCATTCTTCCTCACTGGCCTAGACCTTTGTATTCTGCTCTTTTGGGAGAAGGGTGCTATATCTCAGGAGATGGATGATGTGAATATTTGTTCTTGTCAGAAGCACCGCAGTACAATTAAGAAATAGATAATTTTTGTCCAATGATGGCGAACATCAAGAGCATTTGGGACAGCTAACACCAGGTCTCCCATGGTATGAACGGGCATAGAGTACACTTCCATAGGTGTGATGTTACCTGCTCTTCTCCACACTCACAAAGGACTGTCAGTACAAAGAAAAACACCCCACCCCGTTTTCTTAGTTTCACTTTGGCTCTTCCCACTTCACTCCTTAGCCTCTTAAGTGGCTTCCAAGCAATCACGTTCTCCACGAGACCAGAGCTAGTCTTTCCTTGTGTTGCGTCCATTTTATGAGGGGTGGGTCTTTCATTCCACATTATAGGGTCATTTGATACAAGAAAAGGGCATGCCTCTGACCTACGCTTTGAATTCTTCAGACATAGTGTTGTTTCAGAACGCTGCGGTTCAAAATGAGGGTGCAGTTCTTGCCCCGTTCATAAGAACACGGGTTCACTTCATTTCAGTATTTCTTTGGTCTCTGCTTCTCCTTCCAAAAGAAAGCCCGAAGCTACTATAGCCCAATGCAAAAAATCAATAATGAAGTTCCATTATATAAAAGGCTGAACTGTACATTACAGACAACCCATCGTTAGGAGAGGAATTCCTGAACTGTGGAAGGCAAATTGTTGCAGCAGAAGATTCCCCCCCCCCCTTTCAACTTGCATTGATTGGACTTTGGGAACGAATTATAAATTTGGTTCACAAGTCTGGTTTCTCAGAAAAGTCTGTCTGAACCTTGTCTCTGTACACCGGAATGATTTCAGCTTTTAATGGCAGAAGCATTTGTAGGCTGAACCCTCGATCTATATTCCTCTTTGTATTATCTATGACAAGCATAGGCAAACTCCTGGCCTTCAGATCTTGTTGGACCGGTGCTTCCACCAGCTTTGGCTTGCCGTTGTTCAGGACCTTCTGCGTGCAAAGCAAGCCTCTTCTATTGAACTTTGGATCTCTCTCCACTTTCTTCCCCCTCTTTGGGAAAAATCATGCCAGAAAATGTTGCTTAATATAGATTTTCCCCTCAATCCAATAGAGTAAGATCTGTAATTTAAACCCTGTGCTTTTTCCAGAAAGTGGAGTTAAATTTATGATGGTGTTGATCTGATGTACTGTACAAGATCACAAAGGGCCTTTGAGGGGAGAGAGGAGCCTCTCTCTCCACAGTGTGTGTGTGCAATAATTCCATCAACCTGAAATTGCTTTTGGCAAAGTAATTTGTTCATATTTACAAAGAAGTAAATCCTACTGCCTTCCGCAGAGCTTAACTGCTAAAGGTTGCTTAGGATTGTTCTATATGTATGTGTGTTTTAGTTACCCCACGTCACTCTTTCCCTTTTTATAAAATGGATGATTTGTACCCAAAACTACGCCACAGATTCAATTCTTTTACTTACTGTGTTTGAGTTCCTTTCCTCCTTTCTTTGCAACCCGTCTTTGCCCTGAATTTTAATTTGCCTTTTGCAAGGCTGCGTCCAAAACACAGTGCCACGAGGCATGGCTAATTTCCCCATAGGTGAGATGAGGGTGAGGGCAGGCGAGGGTGAATCGGCACAAGCGGTTGTTATGTGCGCTGGCTCTGGGCCAGTTGCCCAGATGGGCAGAAATAGAGACTCAGAATCCCTATCTGAAGATGGGGTGGTGATGGCAAAAGGTCGGTCTCCCTAAGATTTCGTTAATGAATTGCTAGGGGTCATCCCTTATCAAAGAAACCCAGAGATCCTGTTTCCCAAACCTTTTCTGCCTTGCTCATTGATCCTCATAGCCATTGGTCCTGTTGCTGCATAACTATTGAAGGTCGGAGCCTTCGGGTGCAGCGATTCAACTGCAGTACTGCAGCCAAAGTCCGCTCACGATCCCTTCTGGGGGCATCTTGGGAATGTGCAGCTTGCCCAAAGTCACACAGGCTGGCTTTGCTCCTAGGAAGAATAGAACTCCCGACCTCTGGCTCCACAGCCATACGCCAAACCACTGAGCTATTAAGGATATCACAGGCCGTGAAATCTAGACTATTTTCTCCTCCTCGCCCTGCAACCTTTGTTTATTCCGAAGAATTCTGGAGAACCTGGAAGCTTGCTTGTACCCCCTATGACATTGACTGGAGTTCACGGTGACATTTCCAACTTGTCTCGTCTCCTCTACAGAATCCTACATCCGACTGCAAAGTTGCAGCCGCCGGAGAGAAGAACTTCGATAAAAGCCCCACGAAAACGAGGCAGCCTCGGAAAGTGGATCTCCGAGCCCGATACTGGGCTTTCCTCTTCGACAACTTAAGGCGAGCGGTCGACGAGATCTACGTCACTTGTGAATCGGATCAGAGTGTGGTGGAATGCAAGGTAAAGGCCCCGTGCGGTAAATCGGTGGAGGAAACTGAATTGTTTGCAAGTAGTCCTACCCGTTGTGAACATTTTTTCTGAGGTTTCATAGAATCACCTCTCCTTCATTCTTGGTGAGGCAGGACACTGGCCATAGTGAGTCAGGATATGATACAGGTTTTAGTGCAACATAAGCGGCTTTGAAAGGTCTCTGGGTCCTTGTTTTGTTTGTCTTCCCTAACCGTCTGATCTGGCTACCTTTGGAAATTAGGCGTTGTCCTTTTTGACCTAAAATTCTTTGCTTGTTCAGGCCAGAGCTGACCCCTTGGATCAGTGTGATCTGCAAAATGGTCCTTGATTCGGTGGCTTTTCTCCTATTGGGACTAGCAGTTGTTTTTAGGGCTTTGTCTTTGAATAGGAAACTAAAGAGATGGGCACAGTGGTTCCGTTCAGTCTGGCGGATGGCCAAGTTGGTGTTCCACGGTTCGGCGCCCTGCCTCCTCTAGCAGGGCACCCACTCAGGAACAGAGCCCCTGGCTTCCCTGCCCTGCCTCCCCTGGGTGCTGCTTTTCAGTGGGCACCCACCAAACTGTGAAACGCTTGTTTGTCCATCAGCCGAACCGATACGAAATCACCAAACCGGCGGTTTGTGCCCATCTCTAGAAAACTATTAACCATTCTAAGCCATCCTTGTGTGTTGGAAAACTTCTTCAAACATTACCAATGGCTTCTGAGATATACTGTGTCGTTTATATTCTTCCTTCCTGTAGTAATTCATCCTTGTGATCTAATTGTGAAAAAAAAAAGGAAAAAACAGGAGTGTTTCTATGGCCATTTATGGAGCCTTAAAAACAAAGGTTCCTCAATACTTCTATTTTTGTATTTGTTGGGGGTTCTGAAGCAGAGTAATACAGGATTCTCTCTGAAAACTGCTGCAATAGGAAATATAACCAGTAAGCGAACAAATGGTAAAAGCAGCAGATCACAAAGCAGTGAAGCTACAATGTTTAAGTCTGTAGTTTTTCTTTTTTTAAAAAGTCTAATTTAATAATTTATTATCAGACAGCATGTAGTTTGACTTGTCTGTCCTTTCTCCCCCGTGCAACGCTGTAGTGAGATTTATGATAAAATAGGCCAATGTAATACTGTCATTAATTTCCTTTTCTCCTATTTCCAGTACTTGGTTTGCTCCATAGGTGGCGCTGTTGCAATTCAGCTTGCCTTGACATTCTTAAGTTTCCTGTTTAATGTCTTAATTACACATTGTTCCCTTTCTCAGAGATAGCTATCGCTCTCCTCATTCACTTGCTTTCGGTGAGCCCGGGAGATTGATGGCCCCGTATAAACAGTGACTGGGTGGGACATGGTCCTAAGTTTGGCTGCCCCCCCCTCTAAATTTAGATGGAAAACAGACGCCTCGCGGGGTGTACTTTTTGTCAACTCAGCTGGAAGCTAGCAGACTTCTTTATAACAATAAATTTATTCTTTTATAGCTTTGCGGTAAGGGAAGCTAAGCAAGATCAGGAAAAGGGAAGACTTCAACATCTTCTAATGATGTTGAAGGGGAACTGGTTCATTTTCACATCTACAGTGACTGAACATTTTCACCACATTCTGGAAAGCATTAGCTTAACCCCACCCACCCCCTGCCAAAATTGGCTATAGGATTAGTGTACAAATAAAGCTTATTGGAAGTGAGTTTTAAATCTAAACAGTGGCTTGAGACTTCCAAGCTGTCTGCTGGTCTAACGCAATTTAAATATACATGTTTGGGAAACCGAACTGTCGTCCGGCTCAGGAAGTTTCCCCAGTGTGTGTTTTTGTTTTGTGTGTGTGTGTTTAAGACGGAGAACCGATATGCCTTGCGGTATAATTGGATTATGATTTTCTAAATGTTTGTGGCTGAACGAATAGCTTATTTGTGTGACATCTCCATCGATCCAAGACTGGGTCCAGGATCCCAGGCATACAGCTTGAGCTAAACGAGAAAGGAAATCTTACGTATCTGAAACCTCTTAAAAACAAAAACAAACCCCACACTTACATTTCTAGACTGGAACAGCGGCAAGGTTCTTATCGGTAAGAAGAACTAGCTTACAAAACCGGAATGTAATGAAAAAGAAACCTAGAATATTTGCACGGCACAATTGCCTTTTATAAACAATGTGTCCCTCAGGTCATTTGAGCCTTACTGGGGACTGGCAACAGACTGTGGCCTCTTACATATTTAGGTATTTGTGTTTTTGAAAGTTCCAATGAGACATGCAACAAAATGTTGCAGTAGGTCAATGGTTCCCAATCTGGGGTCCCCAGATGTTTTCGGACTACAGCTCCTAGAAATCAGCACAGCTAGTGGTGAAGGCTTCTGGGAGTTTTAATCCAAAAGCATCCGGTACCCACGATCGGGCACCTCTGCAGTATGTCTTTACAACCCCAACACAAAGAGTGCCCTTGTTGGTATTGTCAGCGAACCAAACCTTCCTTTAAGAATATGGAAATGTTATTCCCCCTGCTCCAAACCCCCGAGACCTTCATCTGCCAGCATGGCCTCTTGCCGTTGAGGCTGGCCTCTTTCATATTCTTGTTTGGGTTTTTTAAATTCTTATTATTTTTACAAGCTTTTGGGATCCATCTGATCATGTGAACATCTCTTTTGTTTCCCCGGGGTCCCCACTTGGGCTACATCCCTGCCAGCAAAGATCCGTCGAGTTCTCCGTAAGCAGAGCAAACAACCTCCATCTGTATGTGTAGCCTGCAAACTTGTGTATACACACTCACACCAGTGTATATGCAGTTTGCAGCCTGTAAAGAGAGGACTTCCTTTGTAGGGTGGAAAGGCTGCCAGTTTTGAAGTGCTGCTGCTGATCTTTTAAGGCTGCTTTGCCTGCATCTAGCAGTACAGGTTGTTCCTCCATATATCAAGCAGCAACCCTCACACTGCTTGATATATGGGGGACAACTTCAGAGGGGATGTGGTGGCACTGCGGGTTAAACCACAGAAACCTTTGTGCTGCAAGGTCAGAAGACCAGCCGTCGTGAGATCGAATCCACGCAACGGAGTGAGCTCCCGTCCCCCGTCCCAGATCCTGCCAACCTAGCCATTCGAAAGCATGTAAATGCAAGTAGATAAATAGGGACCACCTCAGTGGGAAGGTGACAGTGTTCCGTGTCTAGTCATGCTGGCCACGTGACCACGGAAATTGTCTTTGGACAAAACGCTGGCTCTATGGCTTGGAGATGGGGATGAGCACCACGCCCTAGAGTCGGACACGACTAGAATAAATGTCAAGGGGAACCTTTACCTTTACCTAGCAGTACAGAGCCTGTGTCCTAAGTACACTCCTGTACTGCAGTGAGTCCTGGGCCCTTTGTGCACGGCAGGAGAGGAAGCTGAACACCTTCCATATGCGGTGCCTCCGACGCATTTTTGGTATCACCTGGCAGGACAAAGTTCCAAATAGAGTAGTCCTAGAACAAGCTGGAATATTCAGCATGTATACATTACTGAAACAGCGACGTCTACGTTGGCTTGGGCACGTCGTGAGAATGGCTGATGGTCGGATTCCAAAGGATCTCCTGTATGGAGAATTAGTGCAGGGTAAGCGCCCCAGAGGGAGACCACAGCTGCGATATAAGGACATCTGCAAGCGGGATCTGAAGGCCTTAGGAATAGACCTCAACAGATGGGAAATCTTGATCTCTGAGCGTTCCGCCTGGAGGCAGGCGGTGCAGCATGGCCTCTCCCAATTTGAAGAGACCCTTGTTTAGCAGGCCGAGGCAAAGAGGCAGTCCCGAAACCAGCAAAATCAGGGAGCTGGAGAGGGGACGGATTGTATCTGTCTTCAGTGTGGAAGGGATGGTCACTCTCAAATTGGCCTCCTCAGCCACACTAGATGCTTTTCCAAGACATTCAGAGCACGTTACCATAGTCTCTTGAGACTGAAGGATGCCTAACTAACTAACAGGTTGTCCCCCATACATCAAGCAGCAACCTTCACACTTTCAGGCTCCAGCCTTCTTATAGCACATGCAGCTGAGTAATGTGCACCTGATTCAGGTGTCTGGATGCCTCGCTTGGCACACATACCACCTGACAGAATGCTGGTAAGTTCCCCTGGCAGCCTCTGCCACGGACACGGCCAATGTGCATTCGCTGCCTAGCTGTGTTGTCCCCCATACATCAAGCAGCAACCTTCACACTTTCAGGCTCCAGCCTTCTTATAGCACATGCAGCTGAGTAATGTGCACCTGATTCAGGTGTCTGGATGCCTCGCTTGGCACACATACCACCTGACAGAATGCTGGTAAGTTCCCCTGGCAGCCTCTGCCACGGACACGGCCAATGTGCATTCGCTGCCTAGCTGTGGGCCTGGGGTTCTTTCCTCTCCTCACCTCTCAGGCAACAAAAAGGTGGTGCTCATCAACAGCAAATAAAAAATGGGAGTACCCGAAATTCTTTGTTGTGTTTTCAGCAATAAATGGCTGGATGGAATAAAGCCCGCATCCCTTTATAAAGCTTTATAATTATCCTTTCATTTAAATGACTCTGCTTTTGCCTTCGTTTGGCCTCACCTCTAGAATATTTCTGTAAGTCGGCTTCTGTTTTTGAAGCGATATTGTGGAAAATAAGTTCATGTTTTTGAAACAAAGAATGCTGTCGCTTCTTAAGGAGTCTTGAGGTGCAGGGGTTAAACTGCAGGACTGCATCCAAAACTCTGCTCATGACCCGGATTCAGTCCCAGGTAGCCGGCTTGAGGTTCACCCTGCCTTCCGAGGTCAGTAAATGGAGTACTCGGCTCAGTGGAGCGGCAGCCAGCGTGTAGCCTGCATGATTAAATTGTAAACCATCCAGAGAGAGCTTTGAGCGCTGTGGAGCGTCACCCTTTGCTTTTTGCTTCCTTAGCTGAGTGTTGTTTTCTTCCACTAAGGCCATGCTCTGGAATTACCGTATTTTTCGCACCATAAGACACACTTTTTTCCCACAAAACAGGGGGGTGGAAAGTCTGTGCGTCTTATGGAGC